TGATTTCAAATAGGTTGAGATAAGCAAACAAGAAATTGGGGTATTGAAGGGGTGATACGAGGATATAGGGTAGGTGAATAGTCCAGAACATGAAGAGCGATACCACAACTATTTAGCACACATTTGGTCAAAGAATCGACTTCACTTGTCTCTTTGACTAGTTGTAGTTTGGGGCAAGGCTCACTGACGATGCCGGCTATGATGCTGGCGAAACGTCTGGGAATGTACCAAATCCGAGTTCTGATTCTGGAAATTATCATGCATACTCTGAACTCCGGACAAGGTGCGCTCCTTAAGGTCTTCCTGCTAATATGACCAAGTTACGAAAACAAGGTCAAACAACTTCTATATAACGAAAGGATACCACGACGATACAAAAGGCTGCACAATCCTGTTTTTCAAATCTTGACTCAGAGTTGCACAAGTTTATAGTTACTGAATATCAGGCTATGTGAGCCTTTTAATGCATATTATGGTATAAGGATTTGAATAAAATAAAAATTTTCCAAATACTACCTAGTAATGTAATGTATCGTTATATATAAAAACTTTTACATTTGCCTACCTGGAGTCGACAGTTTCCCCAGTCGCACACAAAAATGTTGTCGTTAGAATCGATCGCCAGCCCCGTAGGAGAATGAAAGCAACCCGGCTGCATGCCGTTTACTCCGATTTTAGCCAGAAATATTCCATTACAATCGAACCTTTTAATGGAATGATTCTGAAAGTCACTGACCAAAATCTCATCTTGCGAATTCACCGCCACATACATCGGAATGCCAAACTGTGAATCGGCTACGCCCCTTGCGCCAAAACGATTTATGAACTTTCCTGTTGGTTTAAAAATGCACAACATGCAAGTCTTGGCGTCAACTACAAGGATTCGGCCTCGACTATCCACCGTCAGACCTTTGGGTCCGCCGAGGTAGCGCTGGCCGAATCTGGAGATGTAGCGCCCTACAGGTGTAAAAACATTGACGCAGTGTGAATCAAAATCTGATATCAAATAGTTGCCGTTAATCGTTTCAGCAACGTCGATCGGTCGCGCTAGTTGACCCGGCTCTCGACCATGCTCTCCAAAACGGAGGACAAATTCGCCATTCTCATCAAATACCTGAGGTTGCCAAAAGGGAAATAAAAGATGTTTAGTCTGCAGAATTATGGGTATTTCTGAGAATTGGAAAAGGCATGAATAAGCTAATTGAAAAAAAATTTTGTGATTTTATTGGTGAGATTTATCGCAAACAAGCGATTTCAAATTGATTGATCAAACGATCCTATTTTAATACCAAGATATATTATAGATAAGAAGAGAAACTGGGTTTAGATGAATCTCCTAAGATAACATTGTTGGGGGGACTTCGATGAAGAAGAGGTCGATTTCATCAGAGGGAGACGGATGAATCCCGCTGTACTGCAGCCGTTTGGCTTTTATACGACGTTCAGGTTGACTCAGTCCACGAGATCTCCCTCGTTTCGGGTAAAAACGGACTGAGCTTTCGTCCATCAAATGATGAACATCATCAGAGCTGGAACTCATTCTTGTAAAAGTTAACGTTAACTCTGGGTCAGGAAAACTATCCGGCTCTATCTTACCTCTCACATATATGTTGGTAAGTCATGCCGACCTATTCGACAAAGATTGGTAGAACACAAAGATGTTTGTAAAGGAAGCTGGATCCAACGGTCAGAAGTGGCCGAACAAATGGTAGAAACTGGACATGAAATAGAATGGTCTCAAACTAATAGGTTTGCTGATTATGGTACGTTTGTGTTTAAAAGAAAGATAAGAGAGGCTATTGAAATTAATAGCTTAGGAAATACGTTGAATGTAAGGAACGCAATGGTTAAAAGAAAGATAAGAGAGGCCATTAAAATTAATAGATTATGAAATACGCTGAATGTGAAGAACGATGGTATTGAGTAAGGGAATTACATCTTTGATTGCTAGATTGAAAGAGAGAGAGGGTGTTGAGCCGCCGTCAAAAATAAGGCGACTCAATTTGTCTGCTCGGTGA